AATTATTTACTGGAACAAAATTATTATTTATATGTATGTTTTAAAACACAGGTAAGAGTCCTAAACATGAATCCACCATCTAACATAGGAAAAAATTTATTACCAGTGTAGTGAAACCTATATGTGCCCCGGTTCTACCTTACTTTTCTCTTACACTGCCCCTCTAAATTAACTGCTTTCCAAATTTTGTGCTTATTATCTCCTTTTTCTTTCATTTGTGTGTACTTATTATATACATATGCGTATTTCTCTAAACAATGCATGGTTTAGTTTTGCTTTTTTTGATGATATAATTTGTGAGCCCTAGAAACAAACTGGCAAAATTAAATGATGAACAGCTCTGTATGATTACAAATTACCATTTGAAATTTTTAGCAGATGAATACTTTTGAAGATTAATTCCACATTACGTGGAAGACCCCCTAAATACTTCATTCAGTTAAGCCTTTTGTGACCAATAGCTTTCTGCAATGTTTTAGAAAAATCAGATTACATTTTTTCAATATTTACCAAATACACAGTATTCTGTATGAGAGAGAATAATCTCAAGTGATATTCTGTAGTTCATCAAATCTAAAATAATCTGCTGCTGGCACTTTCATGGTCTTACCTAAAGGTGCAAATGGTTTTTGTTTTGTTTTGTTTTTTCTCTTTTTTCCCCTTTTTTGAGAGATTTTTGCCATAGGGCACGTACGCTAGCAAGAAAGACAGAGAAAGAGAGACAGAAAGTGAGAAATCACCCCCCAGGCGGGATGGCCACGCCGCAATCCCTTCTCCATTCTCCTCTTGGGATCTTGGGCACGCATGCACACGCGCCCGGTATGAGTTTAAGCCACCAGGTCCAGGACTTGAACTGTGGTCAACTACATGGGAGCCCAGTGACATAGCCATTATGCTAACTGCTGGTCCCAGGTGCAAATGGTTTTCATACAACTATGTCTAACTGCCAGCAGTTGTGGAAAATTATCAGTGGTGAGATGTATTTCAAAGTTTTTGGTTTGGGTTTTTTTTGGCGGGGGGTGGGGTTGTCATAGGGCGAATGCGCTCACTAGAATTCAAACCATGGTTAGCCATGTGAGAATCAAGCACCTTCACCACCACACCACCTGCTAACCGCAAAATATTTAATTTTTTTATGTAAATACTCTAGAGATCAGCAATTCCAAGGTTGGGGTAGCAACCATAGGCTCGTTGGTATCTCTGGTATACTATTGGTTTTATCTTCATAATTATGATATATCCAAACCAATAAAGGATTTTATGTATTAATTTGTGTGGAGGCTTTTTTGGAGGGAAAAGAGAAGCAAATATGCTTTGTCCTTATTAGGGTCCACCTTTTTGGGGAAAATGATGGTAAAATTTTCCTTCATTTCATTAGAGGCCAGAATGAAGTTATATCCTTACCTTAGCAAAGGAATGCATTACATTGACAATTTAGGTATGATTTATACCTTTGAGACTTGAGAAAGCACCTACCTTCTCTAAGACAAAGGGGTAAGCTGCCTTTTTCAACATCTAAGAATAAATAGAGGCAGTGACTGCCTTTTAGGCAACAAAATGTGTGTAACATCAGCTTTTTGTGAATATTTATTTCTTGATAGGTTTTTTGTATTTTTTTTTAATTTCCACATTGTTTTCTCTTTTTGGCTTTTGTTTCATGTTTGTTTTTCAGTGCAGGGTTTTTTTTTATATGTACAATTAGATTTTTTTCTTTTGATTTCTAATTTCTAGACTACAAAGAATTTCTACCCCACAATTTTGAAAAACCTTTTGTAGTGCATCTAACTTTCTTTATAATTTGATAATATTAGTGTTATCCATAGGGAGTTCTCACTGATAGAATGTCAGATGGTTCTGATATATATAATTCCAAGGTATTCAGTATTTGTTTTTTTTTTTATTTTTAGAGAACCTAGAAAAGTTGTTCTTCATCGTGGCTCAACAGGCCTTGGTTTCAACATTGTAGGAGGTGAAGATGGAGAAGGAATATTTATTTCCTTTATCTTGGCTGGAGGACCTGCTGATTTAAGTGGAGAGCTCAGAAAAGGAGATCGTATTATATCGGTAGGAGATGTTAATCCAGAATAATATTTTAATTATTTTATCTGTTACCTGTTAATTATTAATAAGCAGATCTTTCCTTTTTATATCCTAAAATTATGGAATATCTTGGTTATTTTATTACCATTTACAACTGAATTATAGAATTATAGTGTCAAAGAACATGTTGTCTATGATAGATTTTCTTTTAATATTTGACTCATATAAAGAGTCTGTTCATGAATATGTTTGAAGGAAGTCTGTATGCTCTATTTGTTGGCTGTAAGGTTCTCAAGCTTGTTAGTAGTTACTCTGATGCTTCTTTATACTTTAATCTGTTGTCTGCTTGATCTTTTTTTTTTTCTTTTGGAGAGGTTTTTGCTATAGGGCACGTGCACTCGCCAGACAGACAGAGAGACACAGAGAGATAGAAAGCGAGAAATCACCCCCCAGAGGGGATGGCCACGCCGCCATCCCTTCTCCTCCATTCTCCTCTCGGGATCTTGGGTACGCATGCACACGCGCCCGGCGTGAGTTTAAGCCACCAGGTCCGGGACTCGAACCGCGATTGACTACGTGGGAGTCCAGCGACATAGCCATTACGCTAATGGGGGGTGATTTCTTGCTTTCTGTCTCTCTGTCTCTGTCTGTCTGTCTGGCGAGCGCACACGCCCTATAGCAAAAACCTCTCAAAAAAAGAAAAGGCTCGAATTGTCATCCTTTCCTGGCAAAATACACTTTTTTTATCACTATGTAATAATCCTTTTTAGTCATTGGAAAAGTCATGACTTTTTCTTTTCTGTTTTACTATGCAAAAGTGTATTGTGACTTTTCCAATGACCCAGTATTTATAATAATGGCTTTGCCCTAAAATCTATTTTGTCTGATATTAATATGGCTATCTGACATTTTTTCACTTGATATTTGCCTCATCTTTTCCTTTTTTAAAAAAATTTGCCTGATGGCTATGTAGCTGAACTCCCATGTAGTCGACTGCGGTTCGAGTGCCAGACCCGGTAGCTTAAACTCATGTCAGGCTCATGTGCGTGCGTGCCCAAGATCCCAAGAGGAGAATGGAGGAGAAGGGATTGTGGCATGGCCATCTCCACCCCACCCCCCCGGAGTGATTTCTCACTTTCTGTCTCTCTGGCAAGCACATGTACCCTGTAGCAAAAAAAAAAAAAAAAAAAAACCTCTCAAACAAAAAAAACATTTGCCAGAGGGTGTGTGCACTCACTGGAGAAGGACAAAAAGAGAACGAGTGAGAAAGCACACTTCAATGAAGCATAGTCACACTGCAATCCCTTCTTTTCCATTTCTCCCTCCTTTTTGGACTTCGGGCACATGCACAGTGTGTGGTTGTTTTTTTTTCCACATGACTGGGTCAGGGGCTTCTAAATTGAGCAGGTGGCCATGAGGCCATGGAGGGTCCACCCACCTTAATCACCAGGCCATAAGCTGACCCTCTTCTTTTACCTTCATTTTGTTTCTGTGCTTGCGTTATTACCCATACCATTTTAGACTAAAACTATCTATAGATCTGCTATTCTCCCTCATCACACACAAATACTTCCATCCTCATCATGTTGTTTCTAATATTTTACTTCTGTTTTATTTTTATGCCCCAAAATTTAATTATTTTGGTTTTGTTTAATGATCCATACAGTTTACAGTTTTCATCATCTCTTCTTGTATCTTCTTTCTTTGTTTCTCACTGGACTACTAAATAACATTTGGATTGGATAATTATTTGTCGTGCAGGACTATCTTTTCCACTGTGGAAGATTTAGCTTTTCTAGCTTTCTGTCTTCTACCTACTAGTTGAACTTCTTAGTCTTTATAGAAAGCAAAGATGTTCTTCAAAAATCTAAATGCACCGTAATGAGTTCCCTTGGTTTTTTCTTTCAGCAATGGTTTCTTAATGGTAAATGCTCTTAGACTTGATCTGGACATATCCTTATTTTATGCTCACTTATAAATTTAGTAATAATGTAGAATTCTAAGTTCACAATTATCATTTCTCAGTACTTTATAGGTACTGTTTTATGCTGTCTGGCTTCTTTATTACTGCTTAACAGAAGAGATCTTCTCTCTGGTTGTTTATAGGTGATTTTTCCCTCACTGATTGCTTTAAAGATCTCTGTTTTTAGGAGCAGAGGTGGCCTGGTATTAAGGCCCTGAACTCCCACTCCCATGTAGCATTTAATTTATTCTGTTTGGGATTTATTATACTTACCGAATCAGAAGAATCATGTCTTCCATTAGTTTTGAAAATTCCTTGGCAGTTGTTCTTTTCAAATCCTGACTTTCTCAGGATTACGCGTGTTCTTCTGTCCTTGAATTCCTATGAGTACATGTTACCATTTTGTTCTTAATATCTTTTAACTTCAATTTTATATTTAACAACAATGTCTCTTTGTACTTTATTTCAGTCATTTCTTCAGTTCTGTTATCTAGATTATATTTTCTTCATCTATATCTAACTATTTAAGCTAAAACTAAGATTTTAATTATTTTTTGGAGAGGTTTTTGTTTTGTTTTGTTTTATGTTTTTGTTTTTATTGCTGTAGGGTACGCGTGCTCGCCAGAAAGACAGAGAGACAGAAAGTGAGAATTCACACCCCCCCCCCCCCAGGTGGGATGGCCACACTGCAATTCCTTCTCCTCCATTCTCCTCTCGGGATCTTGGGTACACACACACACATGCCCAGTGTGAGTTTAAGCCACCGGGTCCGGGACTCGAACCGCAGTCAATTACATGGGAGTTCAGCAACATAGTCATTATGCTAACTGCTGGTTCCCTAAGATTTTAATTTTTAAGTACTATTTTTTCAGGCATGTTCCTTTCGATTCTTTTTTCAGTCTGCTTTGGTAGTTTTAATAGGGTCTTGATTGTATACACCATCTTATATGCTTTTAGGTTTTTCTGTTAAACATTCTTCTTTTGTTTTCTATGTATAATAACTATTTTCTAAAATTTATTTGTATCTAATACATGTTACCTTGCGGTACTTCATGGTGAATTGTTTTCTCACGTACCAAACTTTGCATCACAACCTTATTTTCACTGTATTTATTTGTGGGAATCTGATGTTGTCTAAATTAGGAGTGGCATTCCAGTGAAATGCATGGTAGTGTCCTAGAAGAATTGTTCTTATTACCATCCTCCCAATGGAAAAATTAAAATCTAGAGATGAATTTTCTATTAGTAGCTAATAATAGCTAATAAATGTGACAGGATTTACCATAAACACTATTTTAGTATGTTTTGTTTTTAATTTAAAAAGTGTAAGATACCAGTTTCTGAAACTTTAGGATTTGAGATGTAGAAACAACCTTATATCCTGGGTCGGTAGTGCTATTCCGTATTGCTAAGTATTTTAAGTCACTTTTTTCCTACAAATCAGCAGAGGCCTTTTCAAGTACAAAATACAAATAATGCCAGGAAATACTCTGTACTTCCCACTGAAGGTAAGTGTGGGTAGAAAGGATAGGGACACATCCAGCAATGTAAGCTGCATCTTCTGTGCAGTTTTCACTTCAGTCCCTCTCCCATCTGACTGTCCTCTGAACGTGCTTGGGTATATCAGCACCTTCCTGCATTCCGTTTTGTGGTTTTTTTTTTTTTTTTTTTTTTTTTTTTTTTTTTTTGAGAATCATGTGTATTTAAAGTAAATACTGAAACGAGGCCAAAAGGAGAAATAACTGATCATTTACAAAAGAAATAGAAATATATTTTTGTTTTAGTTGTTCTGGGATTATTGTGTAATCAACTAGTATTTGAATGAATATAATTCTTGGTCACTTGAGTCTTTAAATATCTAGTAATGCTTTATTAAAGATTATAGTAGTATAATTTTAGAAAATTATTAATATGGAGTTTAGACTATTTTCTGCTTAAAACAACAGAATAATCGGGGATTATAATATGTATTATAGAAGTGAAATGTAAGATCACTTAAGCACAAATCAAAAGCAAAGATGAAATTATATCATTGTTTCTTACATGATTTATGAAGTAGTATCAGGTTTTGGTAAACAGACTGTGATGAATTATAATCTCTAGCAGAAACACTAAAAATACTACAAAGCAGTATAATTTTTAAAATTAATGCAGTGAGGCCAGCACGTGGCATGGTGGTTAACACACAGGACTCCCACATGGCTGACTGTGATTCAAGCCCCAGACCTGGACCCTGGGGGAAGTGATGTCTCACTTTCCTTCTCTTTGTCTCTCTCTCTAACGAGTACACACACACTGTGACAAAAAACTAAAAAATAAAAATTAATACAGAAGATTGAATATTAAAAAAAAATACATGCTTCACAAAAAAGAAAAGTGGAACAGACAGCAGACAGGGTAAATAAAAAGTAATACCAAAATATGAGATTGAAATTTAGTAACTTCATTATAGTAAACTCTCCAGTAAAGATTCAGAAATTGTCAGCTTAATTTTAGAAGAGCAAGATCCAGGAACCACCAGGTGGCATAATGGTTACATCACTGGACTCCCATATAGTTGACCATGGTTTGAGTCCCAGACTGGGCAGCTTAAAACTAAAGCCAGGCACATTGTGTGTGCTCAAGATCCTAAGAGGAGAATGGAGGAGAAGGAGTTGTGGTGTGGCCAGCCCCTTAGGAGGTAATTTCTCACTTTCTGTCTGTCTCTCTGGTGAGTGCACTTGCCCTACAGCAAAAATCATTTTTAAAAAAGTAAGTTCCAACTATATATTGTTCATCAGAAATTCACTTTAATAATAAAGTCTAATGTGTTGCAAAAACAAGAAGTAGAAGTGCAAAAAACAGAAGCTACTGTATCAATATGAGACAAAATAGAATTCAAGAAAAATTAGTGCTGCTATAAATAGATTTCATAATGACAAATGCATCATTTCATCTAGATGATGGTTCTAAGTATGAATGTGCCTAGTTAGCCTTTCAGTGTACATAAACCAGAAATGGTCGAACTAAGGAGAGAAATGGATAGTTCTTTATCACTAGTGGAGATTTAAACAGCTTTTTC